TCAGACAGCTGTGAAAGAAGTCTTCGTGCAATCAGACAGCTGTGAAAGAAGTGTTCGTGCAGTCAGTCAGCTGTGATAGGAGTGTTCGTGCAGTCAGACAGCTGTGAAAGGAGTGTTCGTGCAGTCAGACAGCTGTGAAAGGAGTGTTCGTGCAGTCAGACAGCTGTGAAAGAAGTGTTCGTGCTGTCAGTAAGAGGCGTAAGGATTGTTAGGCAGTCAGAGCCATATTCAAAAGTCAGTTTTCTAAAACAATTAAGGCAGTAGTAATTTTAAGTCAAGGTGAATGTGCTGATTAGATCAGTGATAGTTCATAGAATGCATATCAAGGAATGTTACAGATTGGAAATTGTATAGATCTAAACAAAGCATCTCACGGTGCCCTTATTTACTTTCTACTTTGTTACTATGTCAAAGACTTAAAAATAAAAAAAGGATACAACCTTTCATTCTAGAGTCTTAAAGTTGGAAGATGACTTTAACATCGAAGGTTAGAATCTCGAAACTCTCTGCGGGACATAAATAGAAGTTTTTTGAACGAGATTGATTGAATGATTGTTTGTTGTTTTACTTCCTTTCGAGCATATTTTACTCATATAGAGACGTCACCATATACCAGTTACGGGCTTCAAATTTAGACATATACTCGGCACTCAGGGCCATTGAACAGTCATGGATCTTTCACTTTCACTTCAATGTGCCGAGCGCCTAGTGTAGGAACAGTTGCTACCTATTTTTATCGACTTAGGTCAATCGCGACCTGTCTCGAACCCTCGACCTTCCAATCACGGAGCAAGCACTCTACCGGCTGAGCTGCCCTGACAGTCTTTTGAATGAGACAGATCTATACAATTAGATTCCATGTCACAGTAGATGCTGGCACGTTTGCGATCATTTACTGCACAATGGACAAATGCACCGAGTCAAGTTCTATTTTAACAGCCTTGTAAGGGCAACTGTTGGCGTCCGAATATTCGTAAAATTATTTAAGTTAAAACGAAACAAACAACCGACCACAGACTTGATTAATTGAATTGATTTTACAGTGCAATAAATTAATTGAATTGATTTTACAGGTGCAATAACCGAAATCAAATCAGTTTCCTATAGGGTGTTTAACAATGTTATTATTGTTAAAGAGCATTATATGTAACCAGCTTTATTAATTTCTTCTTTATGGAAAAGGATATAAAAGGATATGAATGTATTTTATGCTTCATAGTTACAGCACGTAAGGGAAGGCGTCATACTGTACTGATTTACTGATTGGAAAAATAAGTGATGGTTGAAATGAAATCTGAGACGGTGATGTTCCTCCTTATTCTGATATCGCTGACTAGAGCTTGTTATCGTGTGACCTTTAATTACCCACCCGGAAAAGTGATCGTGAATGCCTCATACGCTGTCTTCTCTACAAACACTTTGCTCTGGTGTGTTAGGAGATGCAAGTTTCAAAGAAAATGTTTATCTGTGAACTTTGATTCCACAGAGAGAAAATGTTTTCTAAACTATAAAGATCACCTGACTCCCGGAGCACAGCTGGGGACCTCCAGTCACGTTCGATCTTACGACGTTGGTGTTTGGAATGATGTATGTAATGTTTTTGAAAATCTGTTAAACGTTTTAATGTAGTAGAAACTTTTTTATAAGATAACCAGCATTTAACTGGATATATTTATTTGAAATTTTTAACATAACTTAGGGCTTTTTATTTCTCTTCAAGTTCTGTATATCTATACACGAGGGATGTCAAAAAATCATTGACATGGACTTTTTTTCCTTTTGATTACTCTTAGATACACATATGGCAGACAAAAATATTTGTTATATGTCGGAATATTCTGCTTTTGATTGTTAAAACTAAATACATTGTAAAAATATCTACTTTAAATGATTGAGGATGGTGTACATAGTCAGAGCGTTAAATTTATATGAATCTTGATTTAAAGTGTTTTTGATTTAGATTTAAAGAATTCTAAAAAAAAAAAAAAAAAAAGAAAAAAGAAAAAAAAAAAGAAATCTAAAACAGAAATCAAATATATATGGCTACAGTAATTTTCTATGAGGTAAGTATTGGTAAAATGACAGAAAGAGAAAGAGTCAAGAAGTATAGGAAGAAACATGTCTTTGAAAACTTTCAAAAAACGACAAAGGCTATGGTAGATCACTAAATTTTCGCGATAGTCATTAACTCTTTATTAGCGAGACAAAATTTTCAAGAATTGTGGTTATTGCTCCATATAATCTTAACGAATACTAATATACGCGAGAATGAAATTTTCGGGAGCACACTGTCTCGCGTAATTACGCGAAATAAAGTTATCCCTAATAAAAAGTTATTTACAGTATACGTTGATCATAAAATCATTTTTTGTATTTGATAGAAGTACTAAAAAAGATGAAAATATCAAATAAAGAGAGAATATTTTGGAACATGTGCATTTCATTATTTTACAGTTGAGAAGTCCGTGAACAATTTGAAGCACCCTTCTTACAACCCATTCATAAAAATGCTTCTTCTTTTTTTATCTCAGAACAAAAATCCACATCGTTGCTTCAAAAAACGAACCTTAAAGTACCTTATCTTTGTAAGTCTTTGTGAATTTTAGGGGAATTTTCTTATATGTTTAGCATATTGTTTAAAACAGTTCCATCTTTCCAAAGCAAAATTTTTGTACAATTATTCTCCCGTATTTGAAGAAAAAAAATATACAGTTTCATACATTTTATGAAATCTTGATATTGTTCTCACATATTGTCATATGATAATTCCTTTTTTGTGAATGAAACATGGAGGTAACGAACAATTTTCAAGCTCATAAGTCCAAAACGGTACAAATCAGGAGAAGAGCAAACACGGACCTCTAAAACATCTAGGATCATGTGCCATGGAGGAGTAAGCATCCCTTGCCGACCGGTCACACCCGCCGTGTGCTCCTTCTCATGGTCAAAATAAACGGAAAAATCCGTCGACAATTCAGTGTGTAAATAATGGCCCAACAATTAGTATGAAAAAATGTAAGTCAGCAATTAACTTAACGATAGATTATGTTTGCTGACAAGGTCATTGTTTCGACTTTAGGACTCGCGAAATGATGACTTCAAACGAGACTGTTGATATCCTCGTTTCATCAGCTTGCCTCATTTGACAATTTGTTCGTACGTAGAACATGCTCTTAAGTATCGAATCAACTGAGAACGTAAATATTATATGTAGGTGATAAGGGTATATTGCTAAGTAAGTAAATAAAGAATCAAACATTTCACTTCACTGGTACAGTGTATTGAGCATTTCGTCAGTTACAAACGTGTGCTATATCTTCTACATATATCTTTTATCAGGATGACATGTACATGGGGAGCTGTAGTAACCACAGTTGTAGGTTCGATTTGATCTGTGAACAAGGAAGTGATCCCACTGTTCCTTACACGTGTATACAAGACACACAATGTCAGTGGAGCGATGGCTGTTCAGGTTGCATCCAAGGTATTTTCCGGCAATATTTTATGGACTATGGAAGCTGGACGTACGATATACATTATATAAACTTGTCATTCCTTTTTAAGAGAATTGATGTCAACAGGTACTTAAGAATTGCGTGAACTCATCCTTCTTTGATAGGGTTAAGGATTTTGAAATCAAGTCTATAGAAAAATTGGTAGAAATCTAGATATAAATATGCTAATTTTTTACGGGGTTACACTGCTGATTGTTTTGTAGACAATGGACAGAAGATCCAACCTAACACTCAGGACTTTACACCTATCGGCTGCTACCACGCTGCTGGAGCTAACACTGGTTTTCAGAGTTCTGTTAATATGAGGCCTCAGATCAACTGGTATGACATTGGCGCTTCAATTCGGGCCTGTGCTCTAGAAGCCAGAAACAGAATGTTACAGTACTTTGGTATTGAGTTTTACGGGGAGTGCTTCATGAGAAATGATACACTGGATGTGTCATACGCACTGGTTTCTAAGAACAAGTGCTCCGAGAAATGTGCATTTGGTGTTGGAGCGGCTGATGTTATTTTCTTTTACCAGCTTATTTGAAAATGAGAAATCAGAAATTGTTTCGACTGATTTTATTCAGTGTCAGATATTTGTTTAATTGTACTTATCGAACTTTTGTAGCAAATTAAGTTAGACAGCATTACTGGTTAATGTGATATGTGAGGCAACATTTCATTACTAAGAAATGTATATTGAAAATCTCTTCATAGTGCATCGAATTACTACCTGAACTGAATAAACATAGTAAACCATTTGCCCTTTTTAGAAGAAACATTATAAATATCTTTTTAAATTATCATTCATATGGATTAAACACTTTTGATTTCCTTATATTGATCTATGTTGGAAAACAAATAAAGATGGAGAGTGTATGAAAAGAGTGAAAAAGTTTATCACACGAGCATCACTGAAGAGACATAATTTGTCGAAATGCGCACCTGTTGCATCAAAATGGTACCGTATGAGATTTACATTATGACCGCTGGGTGGAGGTCTCTGCTGGTGGACTGTTAGTCTCCGAGGGTCACTACAGCCCAGTAGCTAAGTACCTCGGTACTAGCTTGAAAATACGGATATATGTTCTATTGCTGTGGTAAAATTTAGAAATTTATCAAAATTAAGGATTATCTCCTTCATGCACAGCTCTGATCCTTCGACGTATTTGTCTCCAGTCTTGTCTTTGGCACCCCTCTTTCAGCCCTTCTTTTTTGTTTAAATTAATTATTTCGGGTTTCCAACGTTTCAGCATGATCATCACTGAAGAGACATAATTTGTTGAAATGCGCAATTGGTACCGTTTAAGATTTACATATTTTACTTGAAAGATGGGAGGAAATACACCACATAAGAAGAAATTTATTCAAAGTTAGAACGATTATCACAGGTGCGTTATTATTTCTAACATATTAGTTTAATGCGCAATTTTTTTCCTTAAGGCAGCGTGCAGTATTTTTATCTAAAGGCCGTCGACATTTACAATACAGATAAGCACCATGTTCCTTCCTAAGACATTAATTCTTCTGATAGTTTGTGAGACCATATCTTCCATTCTTTTGGAGAACATTGACCATGGTGACCAGGTCATCACTAGAAATGAACTTGACAAGGAAATCCAAGGTTTGAAAGCAATCATTGCACAGCTGAACGCTACCATTGTCAAAGGTAAATTCTCGTGCCTCAAACGCTAACCCTAACCTTAATCCTATCATTGTTAAAGGTAAATTTTCGTGCCTCAAACCCTAACCCTAACCCTACCATTGCCAAAGATAAATTCTGGTGACTCAAACCCTAACCCTACCATTGCCAAGGGTAAATTTTGGTGCCTCAATCCTAATCGTGGAAATATGATAAACTTGGTTTTGATTCTTTAATTATCTTTAAAATAGAACACAATTCACTTTGCTTTGAGTTCATTGGAACTTATAGGGATGCTGATTCATTTCACGGTATTTTGTCAACAGAATTTCTTATACTTTTTCGAGACCGTTTTACATTTTGCTTTGTATAATATCTCCTACAATGGGAGAGGACATAATGGAATTAGTTAAGTTGTCTGTGTAGCTGTCTGTCAAAAAACTGTGTCCTGAACATAACTCTGGAAGTCTTATTTGGAATGCATTCAAACTATGTCTTATTGTCTACAAACAAAATGTGTGTCCTAACTTTTACTGAAGGTTATTGCTCAAAGATTAAGGTCGCTATAATTAAGGTTACTATAATACTAAATATTGAGATAATTTTCATGGCTAATTCTCAAATCCTTGATTGAAATGAATTGAATTACAATTTTAATATACGTTGTCATTGGCCTAAAGGTTTGTCATGACCTTGACTTTTTTGTTTTTTCTTAAAAGTGAATGCCACTGAGTATTGAGATGCTGAAATCATGGTGTGTGAACTGTATATTATAACATTTGATCTAATATTTTAACCACTGCATTATATATTTTAAATGATTCAAGGACATGTAGAAATTCTCTCGAGATTTCGGGAAAGAATATTTATCCAAAATAAAACGTTTTCACTTATTTTTCAAAGTATTGCATCAACATTGGAACCATCACTTGAACTTCATGGAGACAGAAACAAGAGGAAAAGATTTTTTTTTTTTTTTTTTTTTTTTTTACTTGTTTTACTTTTCTCTGAGTAAAATAATCCAAAATGCAAATTTATCATTTTGATTGTCTGTTAAGGGCTCCGTTTTCTAATAACACATTTATTGTTATAGAAAAGAAAAATGTTTGAATCAGGGTTAACAGTGATAATTAAATTTACTAGAGATAGCCCAATACCAAATTCAAAGAAATAGAAGTACTTAGAAACACTGGTATTTCAAAGAGTCCGTGGAAGTGGACCTGGGATATGGGAGAGGTTCATTCAGTTATTACCGGCTGTGGTGTATTATTTTATAATGCAAATATACCTGTATTAGAATATGTTTGAAAGGAAGATAGGAAAACAGATGTAATTGTAACTTTTTCAGTCCATAACTAGCATTTACACCATTTCAAAATAAAGGTGAAACATGTACATATATATAATGACTTTTTTTCAAATCAACATAGGATGCATTAGTAGCCCTAATTTTGTATGATCAGAAATTTTTATTTGGGCTTGCCAAATGTAACCTTAAAGGAGGACATCGGAGTATAAATAGCAGCCAATGAAATAAATGGTGGGTTATTTGATTTTTCTGGCCACATTCAGATTGCAGAGAGTTATTTACAAATATTAAAATACTGATTCCCCTTTATCATCAGATGTTTGTCATGCTTGTTCTTCTCATTAATGTGCATCCTTGGTCACAAATTAAATTTACTGTAAAATTTTTTCTTAGCTGTATTTTTCATTGAAATATTTGAAGCAGGGCTTCTGTTTCTATTTGAAATTCAAAACTGACAGCAGTGGGCGTGATTTAGTTTGTTATTGTTTACACCGGATGTTGTCTACATCACATGCTGGCATGGCGGGCAGAACAGAATGCTGCAGTGTTTGACTTACTTTCATCTCTAGATAAATCCAACTTCCAAAAAGATAAAAAAGATAAAATCCATGATTCAGATTTTTGACATCTGTATTGAAATTGGAATAGTTATAAAATCCTCACAATATATGTACAAAATAAATATCAAGTCAAAACACCTAGCCTATACAAACAGAAACAAACAAACAAAGAGAAGAAAATATCAATTTGATCATGTTGATTGACTGTCAACTATGAAATAAAAATTATTCCCACAAGTGACCCATGTATTGTACATCTTTTGGATTTGGTAGCCATGTTCTCACAGTATTCACTACACATGTCGGCATAATGTCACGTCTGTGCCATTCCTGTCCTGGCTGATAATGTTCCAAAGCTCGCATTTTTTTCTCAGCATATCGGGGATCACTCCAGACTCCACGATGTAAGAGCATTGTCCAAAACCTTTTATATTTCTCCTTTCATAATTTTGAATTCCTGGGATGGGGCGGTCTGAATGGTTCCACTTCCCACCATAATTGCCTGTTGTTGTCTGTGATGCAGGGTTTGCAGAGGCAGAATGGACATTTCTGTCTGTTAATGTCTTGAAGGATGACAAATTTTTCTTCATCATTATTGCCACTGCATTCAGCTTCCATAACTCCTGTATCTAATTCTATATTTGTCTGCACACCTTTGTCTACACATTCTGATCTTACACAAGTGTTCCCGCCAAATTTCTCTTCCTGTGATGTGTCAATGGGGCGAAAATCCCAGTCACTATGCAAAAAGAAATGTTTTATGGCCTCCATTTGCATTTCACTCACATCCAAAATTAATCTCTGTCTTTCCCCCATTTTGCTTACAAAATACAATAACAAATTAATGGAAAATGGCCTCTAAATGATTACAGTGTAGGTACTAATATATGCAGTGTAGGTACTAATTGATGCAGCTGTGTGAAGTCCAACCTCCCCACATGATTAAATGGGTGATAAGAGAATGGTTTATTAGTTACTGCAATTTTGTGAATAGGGCCAAACAAAGGAGAATTTTATTTATATTAATATATATTTTCAATTCTGTTGATTTCTGGAAATAACAACTTAGAAATAGAAAAAAATTGATAAATTAAAAAAAGGGAATTTTCAAAACTAATAATGTTATAGTGAGGTTACACATCTATTTCTCTTTTGTTATCAATTACTCTCCCCCTTGGCCTCACATAGAATATAAGGATGGTTTTGGGTTACTGATAACCAATATATATGAATACAATTTCTCTCAGAAACATCAAAATCTTGTATTTGAAATCATGGCAAAAAATGAGAAGTCCTCAAAGAAACGTCCACCAAATTTTAGGCTTGAAATTCCTGGTGATGGGGAATTTAAAACTAAAATTCAAGGAAAACTGCAAGAGGTGAAAACATTTCTCACTTCTAAGCGCAATTCACCTGTAAACAATGCTGTAATAATCGAGGAACTTTTGGACTTTTGGTTAAAAAAACACTCAGAGGACCAAAGTGTGGAGCTGGATCAAACACAATTTCCATCAACATATCTTCAAGTCAGGAAGAGGGATGTAAATCAGAAAATGTTTGTTTGTGCAGAGTCATCACTTATAAATATATGTGAATTTTGTGAAGCTCATATCAAGAACTGTAATGGAAAATTGAAATTCTTTAAGAAAACGATGAAAGGACATGTTATCTCTTTGCGCCTCCAATGCTCCAAGGATAAAATACACAGTTATTCCTGGTCATCATCACCATATCTGCCCAATGATGAATATCTGGTCAACCACAGAATATGTCATGGTCTCATGTGTAGTGGAATGCTACCATCTCATTACACAAGATTTTCCAATGGAAGTGGATTAGGATGCATCAACTGGGCCAGGAGAAAACATTTTTTTGAAGAATATAAAAATTCTGTTGAGGCCGAATATCAAGATTCCGTCCAAGATGCTCTACACGAAGAAATCGGGAGTTATGAAGACTTGGATGGCATCAATATTTTAACAGATGCTAGACATGGATGGCGAAAAAATGCAAAAGATACATCTGTAGTGGCCATAGGTGAGAAATGTCATAAAGTTTTGGATTGTGTCCATGTCACAAAACAACAAGATCCCGTTTCTCAACGACATGAAAGAATTGGCACAGAAGCTATTTATGAAAATTTCACCTCGCAAGATGTCACCATCAAGATTCATTCTCATGACAGAAATCTTAGTATCAACAAATTTATTAAAGATTCAGAAGAAACAACAAATCAGAATGATTTATGGTACTCAGTGAAAGCACTGAAAAAATCACTTAAAAATATCCCCAGTGGCAGTAAGAAGTCTGAGGGTTTTACCTGGAGTGAGCAGCTAGTGGACAAGACCGAACCGATTGCCACTCATATTCATTGGGCTGTTAGGCATTGTGAAGGAAATCCAAAAAAGCTACAAGAATTTATAGAGAATATAATTCCTCACTATGAAAACTTGCATGAAAAGTGTCATCCAGAGTCGAGATGCAGAAAAGATGAAAATTATGAGCCTTCCCGAGTTGTGTTAACAAGTAAAATTGCCAAAAAACTTTTAGAAAATGCACTGAAAGGATCAGTTATTTATAAATATCCTGAAAATTATGTTTTGGGTAAAGATACTTTTTATGTAGAGAGTTTTAATAATGTCATGAACATATTCCAGGACAAGAGAATAGTTTTTGGAGAAAACCAATATAAACTGAGATCAAACTTAGCTGTGTGCCACTGGAATGAAAACGTTGACAGGGAGCACACCTCAGTGTATCATTCAAGGAACCCAAATGCGCCACGAAGCCAGAAAGGGAAGAAAGTGTATAAAAAAACTAACATTTAAATACAGAGATAATATCTGGTGTAAATATGTAGAAAGCTTTTATTGAAATGAACTGTCATAATATTAAGCCGAGATTATTTTGTACATTGAGTATCAATATTGTAATTGAAACAAGTTATAATATTTTTATTTTAATCAGAATTGTATATATATATATAATCAATTATATAGTCAATCAATAAATCAGCAGTATGTCTTGTAAATCCTGCTTTGTATATATACACTGTAAAGATTATCACTGTGGGTTACTTGTTTAGCCAAGTAACACGTGTGCTGTCTTCTGTTATCAGCATGCTGGAGTTTATTTTTAACTTAGCTGCAGCAATAAGCGCCGCCCTACACCAAATTTGCTTAATTGCACTACCACCGGATTTTCAAGTAGGTCAAGCTCGGCCTTTAAGAAATTTACCAATTTTTTATTTTCTTCTTCAAAACTGAAAATGTTTCCGGACATATGTTTGCTTTGATATTCTTGTTTTTAAAATATCGTCGAGGTTCTATATTTTTTTTACTTTTCCAAATTACCCTTTTTTTTTAAAGATACATATACATGTATCATTACTGACGGTGTTAATATAATAGCAGCTCAAATGTGATATAAGACTGCCAAATGTAAGTAGCTGACTAAGATTAAAGCAATATCACGGCCTCAATTAAACTAACCTCTAAGGGATATCAATCATTTTAGATATGAGCCGTCAAAACTGAATGAAGTGACTAGTGATGTTACATGTTAATGATAATCCAAATTTGGAATGTTCTGATCATGATTTATCATTGTAGAGAGAACCCGATCAAATGTTGCTTTTGTTGCGGAGCTCTCAAGGAGTATTACAAATCCAACAAACAACTTACACATCGTGTTTGATAACGTCAAACTTAACGCCGGAAATGCGTACAACCCCACTCATGGAATATTTGTCGCCCCTTATCCAGGAATCTACCACTTCGCAGTGGAAATTACAGCACCCCCTAATTCTGACCCTTCTCATATGATGCATGTTCGTATTATGAAGAAAACACAAGCAGTGGCCGTCACCTTTCTTGACTCCAATACGCATCAATATCTGCGCAGAACCGGATCTATTGTTCTGCAACTAAATGCTGGGGATGATGTCTGGTGCCAAACTGAATTAATGTCTGGTCATAACACAATCTCCGGAGGAGATACGTACTCGATGTTCTCAGGGTTCATTATACATCCGATTTATTAAACTTTTTGTAAAGTAAAATAAAAATAATAAAGCTTCATTTCTGTTTTGATATGCTTTTTCATAGTATATTTGTTTAATTCATTTTGAAAAGACGTTATACAACAATAATACTGCAAGCATTCTCAATACTGTAAACCATCTATTTTTTGCGTCATCTTTTATTTGCGATTTGTCAGTTTGAAATCAATCCACGACGATTAATTTCCGCGACTGAGGAAACATTCTCTACAAATACAAAGCAAAATAAATGGTTCGTGGCGATTAATATTTGCATTTTAAACTCGCGAATATTTCTCGCACGCGAATAAAAAATGGTTTACAGTACACGGTATCTTTACCAATCTTTTAACCATTGCCTGATGGTAATGATAATGCATTTCATTTAACTTTATTGTTTTGTGTTTCTAATACATGTAAGTATAAAAAATCAACCATAATCAGTTTCAACTGTTAGTTATAACAGGAAGTTTAATTCATCATTATATCGTATCTAGAAAAGAAAAATATAATAAACCGAGTGTACTAAACATTTTGCAATCACAAACAGAATGTTGATTCAACAGTTAAATGAAGGAAAAAAAACACCAAATAACTTCTAAAATAATTCAAAATTTTCACCATGCATTAAACTCTTTCGTTAATGCAACGTCAATTCACATGAAATTTATCTACAGAATGAGACAAAATGCTAAAAACATTACTCTACAGAACGGACCGAATGCTAAAACAACCATCTAAATAATAGAACAAATGCTTAAGCATAAAATTAACTTACAGAATTGGACACATGCTAGAGCATCCACATACAAAATGTTAAAATATTGATTTTTCAGAATTGGACAAAATTCTAAAACACTTTATCTAGATTCTTTCGTAAGAAAGAGAAGACTCGTATGCGTAATATGCGTAAGCTAATTGATAATATCAAAGTTATTAACTCAGTTTGAAAAATGATTTGCTCCATTTGCAGCAGAAGCATTTCTACAGGGTGTTTCATAATATATGTTACATTTTCAGATCTAATTATATTTCTTACCTATCATATTTCTATAACAAACTATATATCATTTTAAACATGAAATCCTGCATTGTTGTTCCATGTGAAAAAGTCAAGGAAATCATGGTATCACGATGATTAATTCTGACATAAACGCCGATGTCAAAATTGGATTTTTTTCGAAATGGACTTAACTTATCAACATATTGCTGAATTGTAAAGCTGTTTTTTCAATACATGTTGCAAATATTCAAAAGTTGATGAAGGAAATATTCCAAAAGAATGGAAGCTTCATAAGGCTAGTAACAAGGATAAAGGACAGGGACTGGCAATATGCGATAAATGACACGGTACTCCAGAAAGCCTAAGGACTTCAAGAACCGAAGATTTAATTGGTGAACTGGAGACTCCTACATAGTTAAGCAAAAGTGTCCGATGGATGTTTTTTAGACATTGATGCTGGCAATATCAGCATTGTCAGCATATATTGAACTTTGAAATATGATATAAAGTTATCATAGTACAATTTTTCAAGTATGCAATACCCCAAGAAAAGAGTTTGATCTCTGCATTCGCCAATCACAATCTTTGGGCCTTTTTCTGTAGGAGTTCTTTAGGAACAGGGTCTACAATCTTAGACTACAGATACTGAATGAGCTCAAAAAAAATATAAACCTTCAAAAGAAGAGTGTCTAACAAATATGTGTGACAAGGTTATACAAATTTCGAAAAGAAATTTTCATTTGCAGTTGAAATAGTGGAGATCATTAAGAACATGTAATTTGGGTTTTTGACTTTGTGAAATTCAACGTAACAAAAGTAGCGTGATTTAGATCATTAATGTTTAAGATTTCGTCCAGTGTGTAATATTTTGGTTGGTAATTATACATAATGAATCTTATGGATACATGCATCAAATTTATAAAAACACTTGACTGTATTTTTTTCTTGTGTTTGTCAAATTGAAGATTCAAAATGTAACATATATTATGAAACACCCTGTACTTAGTTTTTAAAATAGTATTAGAGGATCATATTTGTGTGGGGAGGTAATAAGGCGTGATCAAGGAATCCGAGACAACAACAAAAAAAGAACTTAAACTAGATCGCAACCTTAGATATCCTTGCCAAAACGTTTTGGCATCGATATATAAATAAATAACTTTTAGGAGTTTAAGTACCGTCTTATGGGTCATAGACTCAGAAACGCTTCCATAAAAAAAAATATACTTTCTTTTCATTTTGGTTTAAGCTTTGTGTGTTTTCTCGATCGACCTTATTTTGAAGAGGGGTGTTTTCTTCTTGTTGTTTTTTTTTACATTTGGATTTTTCAAAACTTTTTATTTGGGCCTTATTTACTCTGTTGGTACATTAGTGTTTTCAACTTCTCACAGAATGAAGTGACATCATACAATATGTATTGTAGCCTAATGAGCACTGAAACTGAAAGGGGTCAATCAGTGACCTTTTATTTGTCGTTCAATAACAATTCTATTGACTGAATGGGACCGTCACGGTAGCTCATTCGGAAGAGCGCTCGCTCTGTGATCGGAAGGTCATGGGTTCGAGCTCCGGCCGCAACTGACCTAAGTCGATAAAAAATAGGTAGCAACTATTCCTGCGGCGAGCGCTCGGTACTTTGAAGTGAAGGTTGCGGGTCCTTCCAGACCGAGGCCCCGTGTCACGGCAGGCGTTGGCACGATAAAGATCCCTCACTGCTTATTGGCCCTGAGTGCCGAGTAAAGGTCTAAATTTGAAGCCCTTCATCGGTATATGATGACGTCTCTATACATGTATGAGTGAAAAATTCTCGAATGAGACTAAAACAACATACAATCAATCAATCAATCGACTGAATGGAAGTACTAGTACCCTAGTAACATTTAAGTGGCATTTCAATTATCATTCATTTCATTTTGCTTCATACGCTGTTTAATTTTTACTTCCTTAACATCAATTTTATTATTAATTCCAGCGAACAAATTCCGATGCAAATTTAGCAGGTCAGCCGTAACCATTGTTTTGCACCATGGAAAAATTAATCCTTAATCTGTTTGATGCTTGTGGCGTTATGAATAACTGAAAGGTCATTAAAATGTATCTCCCATTCAGAAACTGAATGCTAACGGAAAAGTTACCGTAAATTCGGTACTTTTTTTCTACTTTATGATGTACACTAGCACTGTAACTTACTTGAAAAAGAAAACAAATTGTTGAGATGTTTATTTTCAATTTGAATTATTATACACCAACAGATACAAGTAAACTTACTCAGTTAACCTATTTGTGTATTACGCAGAAAACGTCATCACGTGATCTTCAAATTTTGCATAAAAATGGAGACAGTCATTCTACGTTACAAAATGCATTAAACTTTTCGGTCGCCTCTGGTCTTTGAAACTATATCAAAGGTATTTAAAAAATTTTAATTTCAATGGCTTTGAATCTACTATTTCTTTTATATTTAAACTTCATATGAACAGCTGGTTTTTATTAATTGCCATAACTCTTTCTTAATTTTTTTTTTATTTTTTATCATTATTATTTATACTGTTTATCAATAAGAAGTGTATAATTCAAATTGATATTTAAATTGATTATTTCAGTATAATTTTAAATAAAAAATTTTTAAATTGAGTATTGCAGCATAAATTTAATCTAAACAATACTGATCACAATCAAACAGTATTTTTTGAGAAAATATAGTTACACAATTTAAATCGGCTTACTTTTGCATACAATTGTTTAAAGCCAAATGGAGAAATCGAACCGTAATGAAGAAAAAAATCAAACAATAGAAATAGGAATTTCTGCTTTCAAGTAAAATCTGGGCTTATTTGATCATGAGTAAATCTGTAATGTTTCATTATCCTTTATTTTACATTTCCTTAAATGTCTTACTTTGATAAGTAGATTGTACTTTCTTCTAATTTTTAAATATTTTTTTAAATATATATTTTTTTGGTAAAATCTCTGCTTGTATAATTCTTGTGTTCAGCTTATAAATGATGACAAGATGTGTAACTGTTAACAAAATAAGATCTTCTGCTTCTTTGATAAAATATGTACGATTGGTGATTTATCATATTATTTACGGATTTAATATTTTAACCTCTCAAATTTTAATTACAAAATGTAAATTCATCTCTTTTTACTTGTGAAAAGGTGAAGATAACGAACAAAGATCTATCTTTAAAAATCTACAAACAACAAAAATCTGTGAACAGAGTATAAAACATGAATTCCTGGAAATTTCAAATCTGGGATCAGGAGCCAAGGAAAAGTAAGACTTCCCTTCGACCAATCACACCCGCCTTGAGCGGAATAATCCGTACTAAATTTTCTTTATAAAAACAAATGCCTAATAATTGGTATGAAAAATGTCTGTCAAAATACGACCTAGTGATACATTATATTTGCCTTGAGCGGAATAATCCGTACTAATTTTTTTATAGAAACAAATGCCTAATAATTGGTATGAAATATGTCTGTCAAAATACGACCTAGTGATACATTATATTTGCTAACAAGGTCATTATAATGACAATAGAATTTTCGAAATGCTGACTATAAACGAGGTTGTTAAAATCCCCGCAACACCGACTTTTTATCGGTTTAAAAATTTATCTTACTCGGAGCATGCTATTAAGTATTGAATGTTGGAAAACATAAAACACCATGTGTAAAATGAGGAAGTTAAGATTTATATTTTTTATATCAAGACTTTCTTATTTGTACTATAGTGTATTTTCATTCGTGGACTGTAACTTCCTTTAGGAAATCTGATATAGGAGATTGAGTTGTAAAATATATATCATATCAAATCTAAAATTCCCTTTAGATTAAAGATATACCCTATCAGGTTTTTGCAGGAAAGTTTTTGAGGGTTTTTTTATCATTTATAATCATTGTATCCTGTTTAAATGTGAATTCTTCTCATTTTCCTATTTTTCTATTATTATTATTTTTTTTTTTTACAATTTTTTATATATGAGTATGGAGAAAATCGG